TCGTATTATGCCCACAGAGGACAGAAGAGGCTGTTGGATCCCCTGGAACTGGAGTTGCGGACAGTTGTTAGTTGCCATGTGGGTGCTGTGATTCGAACCCAAGTCCTCTGCAAGAACAGTGTTCTTAACCGCTGAGCCATTTCTCCAGTTCCAAAGAGTCTTTACTTACAGGGGCATCAACAACTTATATATTTTTTTTGTCTTCTTCAGCAACCAAAACTGCTCATAGATCCCTTGGAGGCTTCATAAGCCCCATCCATCAGCAAGCAATAACTACCCACAAGTCCTCAAGAAGAGGCAGAACCTCTTGAGCTCCCCTTCTTTTGGTGACAGTATGCCAGCTGACCCAGTCTTGGACTTGTGCTTGTAATCAGAACTGCTGAGAGTTCAAGATTATGATGGTCATGTCGTCCCTTGGGGTCCATACTTTATATCACTCCACCCTTCCCCTGCCTCCTACATTCTTTCTTCCCCCTCTTCCACAATGTTCCCCAATCGTTGGAAGGGGTGACTTAGATGTCTTATTTAGGGCTGAGCATTGAACAGTCACTTATTCTCAGCAAGAGTTCAATTCTGAAGTAACTGCAACTCACTGCAAAAAGAAGCATAACTGACCAAAAGTTATAGCTTCACTAAACCTTGAACTTGAACAAAACCTTTCAGAAAGTAATTCAATTGGTAAATCATCTCCTTTTAGCAAGTAATTCAATTGGTAAATCATCTCCTTTTAGCAAAGTAATAGTAGTAGCTCCCCCACTAGGGTCCATGATGGCCACAGCTTTGGGTTTTTGATCAGCTTTAAAGTACTACACCTTAATTCCCACAAGTAATGCAGGCCTCAAATTGAAATACAAAGTGGTTCACTACCACAGCAGTGACTTCACTATTATTTCAGGGTATACGTGTTCCATGGAAGGTCAATCATGTCACACAGGGACCTACAGCTGAGTAAATTTACGATGACAACTATCCAGGAGCATTCTCATAGTACTTCCTAGCACTGTAAAAGCTAGCCAGCAGTGGGGAAACGTCTAGATCAATTCTAGCTGGATTTCTTTATGTCCTGAAACCAAAGCACATGGTTTGCTTAGGAATATGTTCATACAATTAGTTCTGTTGAAGATAAAATACAATTATAAGATGGTTACTATTGATTGACCTTC